CCCAGGCTGGAGTAGATGATTTTCTTATAGTCTGTGGTGACCTCTTTGTTTCCTTTTCTCTGGAGTTCCTTGGCTTCTCTGGTGAGGCCACCATGTCTCACAACTCCAGGGGACACCATTTATACCATAAGCCTATAAATGTACTCCCTGGAGGTGGGCAGTGCCCAGCCAAAGTGTCCATGTGTAATGGCCTTGTTCTCCAGTGAGGTCGAAGAGCTTTGTAAATGGTTTTGAACTAGGATTAGGCTGGTAGCAAAATCTATTTAGTCAGACATTTGTGTTGGCCCCACTTTAATGTATCTTTCCGTGTCTCCTTCCTCTGACACATATTCTACCAGGTGTCTCTGCCACCCTCTGCTGTCTGGCACCACACTAGTCCAACAGTGTGCTAGGTTGGGGAGTAAGTGATGGTAAAACAGGATTTTCTGTTCTGTTTGGGCAGCTTAGGCCCACAAGTATAACAGAAAGCCTGGGGTGGGGGGTATAGGATATGAACAGGTATGCCTGGCTTCTGATCAGAGGAAGTGAAATACATTTTATTTGATGAATATCAAATTGAAGGAAATGATAAAGGGTGCTACCTAATTGTCATCAAAATTGCAGCTTAGTTTAATTTAGACTCAACCAGATTTTCTTGTAAGCCTTGGAACCCAGGGCTTAGACTCTTGAGCCCTTGTTTACATTGAAACTAATTTTTTTAGTTTGTTTGAAAGATATTCCTTCACCATTACTTGACTGGGTGACTTTTATGGAATTATGTCTTGTAAAACTGTTTAGCATTTCATGTTGCAGAATTCTGCATAGTTACCTCGATACCATAGAGCAGTTTGGTTTGTTTTTTTTTTCCGTCGTATGGCTTTAATTACAGAAACTGGGAGAAAATTATGGCGGTGTCCCTTATAAGATTAACTAAGTAATACTGTGATGATCTGTATAAAATATTAGTGCCAGGAACGTAGTGCAATATCAGGTAAAGACGAAGGTTACTCTCCATTTGAATCTTTAAGATTAGCAACAGTAATCGCAGAACACCAGATCAATACAATTAAAGCTACTTTTTAAAATGTATTTTTATTTCCTTTAAATGATTGAGCAGTAAGTACCAAGATTGGACTTTGCTCTCAGATCTTATTTTAGGTTCACTTTGCGGGTTTAGGTGAGGAAGGGCTATGCTTGGTGGAAGTTCGACCTTTGTTTTTGTGGCTACCGCTGGCAAAAACGGAGTGTGTAGAAAACAGTCTGGTGAGTCCTCAGTAGGCTAAACACAGAATTGCTGTATGACTCAGCAATTCTGCTTCTGGGTGTATATGCCCAAAGAGTTGAAAACAAGCATTCAAACAAAAACATGTACATGAATGTTCATAACAGCTTTATTCACAGTAGCCAAAAGGTAGAAATGATCCAAATGTTCATCAGTGCATGAATGGATAAGCGAAATGTGGTACATTCATACAATAGAATATTCTTCAGCTTTAAAAAGTAATGAAGTACTGATACATGCTACAACATGGATGAACATGAAGACATTATGCTAAGCAAGAGAAGCCAGACACAAAAGACCACATACTGTATGATTCCATTTATATGAAATATCCAGAATTGGCACATCTGCAGAGGTAGAAAGCAGATTAGTGGCTGTCTGGTGGGGAGAGGGCTCAGAGGAAGAAGAGAAGTGGAGTGACTGCTTCTTTGGGGAGGTGAAAATGTTTGGGAACTAGAGAGAGGTGGCAGTTACACAACATTGTGAATGTACTAAATGCCACTAATGGTAAATTTTATGTTATGTGTATTTTACCACAATAAAAAAAAAGTGGAGTGTGCTATTTTTGAAAAGATTCCTCATTCTTTGTGAAGCCTATTAAAGTTTGACAGGGTGGGGTGAGTCCTAAAGAAGGGGCACATGGCAAATGTGGGGCAAAGTGGCAGTAGTCACTTGAGGTCCGCAGGACAAGGCTCGCACCTCCTGGTTGGGATTCCCAGGACCTGCCTTGTGTGGGCGCAGTGGCCACAAGGGCCACACTGGCAGCTGCTCCAGGGTCCCTGGTGTCCTGCATGACTGAGGGCATTTTTAAGTCTGGGGCAGCTTGTTTGAAACTCTCATAAAGACATGGAAAGTGGAATACTGAGCTGTTTAAAACCCAAGCCTACAGAAACCCAGCAGATAGAAATTTTAACTGCAGTGAGGTCAGGATAATTTCAGTTTATCCAGTGAAAAGGAAAATAAACTTTTATGACCTGGTGGTGCTAGAATAAGTTTAGTTAAAGGTGCATGGAAAGTTTCTAGTTATTGCTGCACACGTTCTTTTCCCTTGTCCTTGGGAGTGTGCCACTGTTCCTCTTCACACTGTTTTCTACCCTCAAAAGGAAAAAGCTTTCAAATGACTTTTTCTCTGACAATGAAAGTAATACTTGATTATTACAAAAATTCATAAAAAGCAAAATTTTGTATATAGTCATTTACCCCATAACGACATTTCAGTCAATGATGGACTGCACATTTAATGGTGGTCCCATAAAGTCGGTACCATATAGCCTAGGTGTGTAGTAGGCTATACCATCTAGGTTTGTGTAAGTACACTCTATGATGTTTGCACATTGACGAAATCGCCTAATGACACATTTCTCAGAACATATCTCCATCTTTAAGTGACACATGCGGGGCTGGCCCGGTGGTGCAGCGGTTAAGTGCATGCATTCCGCTTCAGTGGCCCGGGGTTCGCCAGTTCGGATCTTGGGTACGGACATGGTACCGCTTGGCATGCCATGCTGTGGTAGTGTCCCACATATAAAGTAGAGGAAGATGGGCATGGATGTTAGCTCAGGGCCAGCCTTCCTCAGCAAAAAAAGAGGAGGATTGGCAGAAGTTAGCTCAGGGCTAATCTTCCTCAAAAAAAAAAAAAGTGACACATGCCTGTATAAAGAAATCTCAGCAATCAGGGATAATACTATAGATGTTTGGCAGGTATCCTTCCAGCCTTTATGTCTATGAATAGATATGTACTGATATCTTGCATTTCACTGGGATCATACTACATTTATCAACATAGTGTGGACCTCTTTCATACCAACAAGTACCAATGAACAGCATGCTTTTCATGCATACTATTCCATTTCAGCATACTATTCCATTTTATGTGTGTCATTACTGATTATTCCATGACTACTATTCTAAATGAGCTGAGGACCTTCCTTGGGTTGGTTCCCCTGTAGTCACTTAACCCTCTGTCAGAGATGATTGGTGACTCAGGGTTTCTGAAATTATTTTCTCATATTTACTTATGCTTATCGGTGATAGCCCTCAAAGCAGAGGTCATGGACGGTAAAGGGAGTAGAGGTCTGTAAAAAATCAGCTCAAAACCCGCTGCCTTTGGGAAGCTTTTGCTGACTGAGCCCCGCTCCCTCTGGTGACTCTGTCTTCTGTGTCCCAATGGAAGAGGGTCAGAGTAGTATGCAGGAACATGGGCTTTGGAGCCAGACCACGGAGGTTTGCATTCTGACTTTCATGACTTGGGCTATATTACTTAACATTTCTGTTCCTCAGTGTTCTCATCTGTAAAATAGGGATGATAATAGTACCTATGATCCATGCCAAAAGTACTTGGAAGCACAGGACCTGGCGCCTAGCTAATGCTCAGCAAATGGTGAGGGTTGTTATTATTATTCAGTTCATTCAAGTGGCTCCCCCAGTTTGTGGCTGTGAGAGCTCATCTGTGTGCTTGGACAGCCCAAGTAGATTATAGACTCTGAAAAGTTCAGATGCCAAAACACTTTATAGTCTTTTCTGCACAGTGAGCCCCCAGCCAATATTACCGATTGATTGTCTGACCCAAACTGACTAGATGCAGTTGTGGGGTCCTTTTGGTTTAATTTAACCTTCATTTCCCATTAAAAAAAAAAAAACAAAAGCAAAACAAAACAAAATAAAAACCCTGAAACCCTGAGAAGTAGATATAGGTGAAATTCGCTTCCTTCAGATCGGTCAGTAACTTAGCTGTGGGCTTTCCTACACTCTGTCTAATGATGATCTTGACTGGGGGAACCTAGAATTCTTAAATGATAGTGATAATGGCAGGAAACATATAAAAGAACTAAAAGCCATTATTCTCAAAGACCAGTTTAAAACAGAAGAGCAAATAAAACCTCGTATTCCCTCGTTTATTCGGGATTCTTCAGAACTGAAATACTTCTGGTAAGTAGATTTTCTAGACGTTGGAAGCTTATTCATTTAACCACCATAACAGTTTGCATTTTATCCATTTTGTTGTCATTCTTTCTAATGCATGCTGCATGATTTGTAGCTTTCATATAGAGAATATATTGAAAACAACTCAGCCAATTTGTTAGGCTTTGAATCCTCATTTTTTTAATGTTATGTTAATATGTCGTTGTCGTTTGTTTTTTAGCTCTGCCAAATAATCTCAACGCCATTTGCCTTCTAAAGACTCAGACAACTGTACCCTCACACAGCTCTTTTCACTTTTAACTTTTTCTCTCATGTTTTTCTCACTGGCTTGGTGTGTCAGTTTTTACTTTTTACTACAAAAATGTACATAATTGCTTTCCCCATCTCCAAAACACCTTTCTAATTTACTGATTTATAAATTTGATACCCTGGGAAACTAGAACTCCAAGTCTATTACTATTTTGTGTAAAGTAAGATTAATAGGCATTGAATGAAAACATGTATTTAGTGACAGGCCTTTTGACCATTTAAGGACTTTAAAAATTTGCTTCCTGGTTGCAGGCTGTTATCTGGTAGAAGTTTGACTCTGGGCAAAAAGCCATTTTATTTATAAGCTACAGTGCTTATGGTTTCCCATTCTAGCGCTGGTACTTTCCTGCTGCTCATAAGTTAAGCAGAGAAATTAGGAAAAATAATCACCTATCCTCTGTGTAGTTGGTAAAAGCTTTATAAAATGGGATTTAGATACTTTTAATAGAAATAGAGGTAAAATATTCTTAGATATAATTTCATGAGTGTTTTTCTGTTTTCTTTACAGAGATATACTGATGACTCTAACTGTTGGGGAGCTCACAGACCATGAACTTATAACCATTGCGCGTCACTACCACGTGCCCGAGGACGCTTATGAAGATGTGAATGTCCTAATTGCACTGGCCCATGAACGGTTCAAGAGAAATACTTTTGAGAATTTCGAAAGACTCATTGCTAACTGTGTATACCAAGATCGAGAAAAGTAAGCTTTTATTTTGTTGATTCTAATAAATCATTTAAGTTTCTGTGAACCTGAGTAATGAAAGAATTGATATTTTATCAAAAAGGGCCAAAAGAAAATTGACATGTCTGATCGTACTCCACTATTTAGCAAAGCCATCTTAAATCATTTTTGGAGAGTATCTAGATACAAATATTTCATACTGATGGTGAGCTTTGTTTGTTGATGGAATAGGGGAGGCCCTGTATTTTCAAAAGAACAGGATGCCCCTTTGCATTTTCTTTTAGTTGGTTTCTAGAAGCTTTCAATGAAACATAGTAAATCAAGATGTTAGAAGGTTTAATTCTGAGGTGTCTCTCCTTCTTACATTATTTAAGTGATAACTGAGATTTATAAATGTGACTTTTATAATGAACAGAAAGGGAATTTGCAAGTAAACTTGCTACAAATTTCTTTGAAATTATTTCTTCTTGAAAATAATGAAGCTCAGCATAATCTATTTCTAATACATTTATCACGTTTGTATTGAGTTTTATTAAGTCAGTCATAAAAAAACCTGGAGCCTCATATGTTTGGGTGTTCATCTTCCCCACAGGCTTGATATAGTGGGGAGAGATACTCATCTGGAATTAGAAGATCTTAGTTCTAACTCTAGCTTCTAATTTTGTTACTACACACTACTGCAGTCTCTCTGCCCCATGACCGCTTCCCTCATCTCCAAACCTGAAGTCTGCACGCAAGTGGCCATCTGCACACCCTAAATATCTTTGAAGGTCTCATAGTTTATCTTCATAATGAACATGATTTTTTTCCTAATTCATAATACATCCTTATTAGGTTTTTATAAAGATGGCATTTTTTTCTTGACTCTCTAAGCTTCCCTGAGCCTCTTGGAGGATGTGTGGTCTGAGCTTTGCAAGACCCAGACCCTACCTTCCACCCTGGTGGTACCCCTTTCCCAGAGTGAGAAGCGTGACCTTCCTCCGCTAAAGGAACACCTCTTGGGAATAATGGGGTTGCTTAATCAGACAGCTCTGAGGTTCTTCCAGATCCAACAAGCTTTGATTCTGGACATAAACATTCTCTCATCATTTTATAACCTCATTGCGAAGAAAGGAGCCCACTTTCCTTCCTGTTGGTTCTAATTTTGCCTGGTGCCTGGAAGAACATTGGCTGAGTGAGAACACTGGACAAGCATTTCTGTGCCCTCTGCAGGCTGGGGAAAATGACTACTGGGCTACTCTGGAGAAAGCATCTGACAAAATTGAGGTGACTGTTAAGGCCCCAGCTGGGGCTTCTAGGCTATAACGTTTGGGTCCAAGGAAAAGACTAGAAAAACACCCTCAAGTCATATAATACTTGTGTTGGAGGCTGTAGTTGCCTGTCAAATTAGGAGATGTTTTCAAATATCAGAATCGTTTTTGACTAGTGGTCAAGAATGCGGATCGATTACTTAGAGCAACACTCATGGCTGCAGCCTTAATAGGCTGTACTATCACCAACCAAGAATCTGAATCTTGATGGAAAGGCCTTTGTAAGGACAGAATCTGTTGACTTCTGAAATGGAAAAAGTGAAATGCAATATGATGGGTTTTTGTTACTGTGAATTCCAATACCAATTTTCACATTTATTTCCATGTGCACGTTTTTAGGACACATCTATGTTTTCTTTCCTATAGCATGTAATTAGCTACTTGAGAGACACGAAGTGTATAAAAGGCCATTTACTTTGTTTTAATGCAGTAAAAAAGTATTACCCACCAAAGACATCAGAAGGCTGTGCAAGTCCTCCAGGTTACCTTTGACTCACGATCTGCTGGTATCCTTACTGTCCAAGTAAGTGAGAACTCTACCCTTCATTGTGATTGTCCTGCATATTTTTGTTTTGGGGGCTATTCCTGGTTTTACATTTACCTTTAATTCCCCTTGATTTACCTTTGATTGTCTTATTGATGACATACCTCCATTTAAGTATTACAAAAGGAAAACTTAGCCACGATTTTGATTGTTAGACTATTATGAGTTATTATTTTATCTTTTTGACCTTAAGACACCCTAACACACACGCAGGTTCTGGGACAAAATGAAAATGCACAACTTCATTGGTTGTGAGGGTGTTAGATGTAAAACTCATGACAGGTTTTTCAAAGCAGTAGTCCCTGATGGCTAAAGACATGCCATAAGAGGACCTAGTGTTACCAGCACAGGGCTCTATCTTGCTAGAGCACCAGATGTAAAGCATAGAGATGATGATGTTGCAAAAGGAAAGTATGGTGAACTGCTTTCCAAAACACATCACTTCTCCTGTTAGACCTGACTTTTGACTCCCTGGCACCACCCTCCTACCCATATAGACTCTGATTATCTTTTATGCTTCCTATGGCATTACTCCAACCCCTCCTCTGACTTACTTATCTCGATAATTCTGACATTTTGGGCTGTGATCTAGGCATTGTTATCATTGCTTTGAATACATTACTTCATTTACTTTGTGAGAACAACTTGGTGAGATCAGAACTATTATCCTCCTATCTTACATGAGGATGCTGAGGTTTAGAGAGATGAGGTATTTTGCCCAAAGTCACGTAGTCTGGAAGAAGGAGAGCTGTGACTTAACCCCGGAACCTTTCAAATGCACATCTCCTGCTTCTAACCATTTTGAATTATTGTGTTCACATATCCAGTAGATTAAAATGCCTTGACAGTTCTACCTCCTTCCTGCTGCTTGCATCCACTCTTTCCTCTCTGTTCCTACTATCTTCACTCTTGTTCTGACCCACATTTGTTCTTGACTATTGCAGGGCCTCCATGTTGGTGTTTCCTCCACCAGTCTCTAAATTTTTAAATCTGTCTTTCATACAACAGCTAAGTACCTTCTAAGAGTAAAAATGTCATAGTGTCACTCTTCTACTCACAAACCTTCTGTACCATGTCTTTGTTCTCTAAGGAAAGAACAACTCCTTAGCTTTGAACTTCTTCTCACCTTTCTCCATCATGGGATTTAGGGTTGTCAGTTGGAGCATTGTTCTCAAGCAGAGGCTAGAGTAGAGAGTCCTCCTCTGAGGTGAAAGGAGAAACCAAAGGAATAGATAAAACTAAATCCCATGTGGGAGAACTAGGGTCCAAGGTGTCAGGAGGGTAATCAAGAAGAGGGCCAATCCAGATGGATGTGTGTATGCATTTGATTGACCTGGGGTTATTTTCTAGACTATCAGGTCTATTTGCTTTTATTTGCAGGCATCAGTGTGAGGGATAAGTAGGTCATCCGATGTAAAGGACCTGAGATGAAATGCGCAGGTCTAGGAGTCAGGTTTCTCCACAGTTACCACATTCCCAAAGCTCCCCTTCCCATTCTGGGTAGTCCAGCCAAATGGGCCATTTAGCATTTCACACATATACCACCTGCCCTCCCACTTTTTTGCCTTTTCTCTTTCTATTTCTTCAGTAGGAAATAGCTTTCAATTTTCTCTACCTGCTGAAAGCTTGCTCTTCCTTTAAGAGCCATTTCAAATAGCACCATATCCATGAAGCCCTCTTGGATTTGCTTGGCTCGCAGTGATTATCTCCTCCTACGGATTCTCACAATACTATTTACGTTTCTCTTTTTGTCCCTTACCTTGCTTGTAATGAAGATTTGTGACTTGACGTTTGATCCATTCAGATGCAGAGACTTGCTTTTAACCTGTTTCATTTACCACCTGTGAACGATCAGTGTACATCTTGACAATTTTACCTCTACCTCCTCTCTTATATTCTTTGAATCAACTTGCTAGCTGTGTGATCTTGTGCAAGATTTTTGACCTGCCTGAAACCCAGATTCCTTACCTCTAGAATCAGATAACAATACCTACTTCCTAGTGGTTCCGAGGATGAATTGACATAATGTCAGTAAAGCACAGCACCTGTTACTAAGTATTGATTGGGGACTAGGAGAGAAGTTTAAGTCAGGGACCATAGACTACACACTCTGACTTAGAAATGAACTGGAAGAAACCTGTGTCTTTCTACATAGAGGAAGCCTTGTTTTTAAACAGTTGAATCTGAACGCCTTCCACACATTAAGCTGTCTTCTAGTCAGGAAACTGCAGATGTTTATTAGATTATCTTTCCATGGCCTTGAGGATGAGTTGTCCTGGAAAGTCCAGTAATGTGGGAGCCTGGCCTCTGGAAGACCTAGATGTTTCTTATCCAATACTGAGGCCACCAAGTCATCATCCTCTCATTCTCTCAGCAGACTGTTTTGTCTTTGCCTTTACAATTTGACATTAAAGGCAGAAAGACTATTCCACAACTTGCTTCGGAGTCATCTCAGCCTCTGAACACATCCGCCTCCGAGCCCAGCTTAGCTTTGAGGAGGTCATCCCTCTGAGCCACTAAGCAGACCATGTTCAGTCTAACTTTGCCTCTAATTGTGCAGTGACCCTTCTCTACACTCAGGGGAAACTTCAGACTAATCAGATTAGAAAATGTCTCATTCCCATTCCCCTCTCCCTCCAATATGCCCTGCCACGATTTGGGTCACATGCTTGGTGTTTTGCATCATCTCCGCAGATTCCTTTCAAAGACTGCCCTAATTCCTAGTGGGCCCATCAGCCTGCAGCTTACATTTATATTCTGCATTCTTATTGTTCCCCACAGACTCCACAGGGCTTTCCAGAGCCTTGACCAGACTCTCTTTCTGCACAGCCCTCCTGTGGCACGCTAAGCCAGAGCCCTTCTGACGTCTACAGTCTCCCGTGGGAGGCAGGCATGGAGTTTGTTGATTTGGTTCAGTGCACATTCTGCCCAGGGGCAGTTTTACCTGCCTTAGGATGGAGCTGGGTAGCTGTTGAGCAGCCGTATAGCCCTGCTGTGTGAGTTCAGATCAGGAGACGAAAAACAATATGGCTAAAGATTTGGATGATTTCTTTCACCCAGTGATTGTTACCCATGTGTTTCTCCTGACCCTGTGTTTTGGTAGTAAGATTTCCCCTCTACTCCACTAATATTTTTCTTATGATTCAGTCAGGTCTTTTCCTTATTAGCACAACTCAAGCTGGAATCAAGACTAAAGTCTTTTCACATCCGGTTACCCAAGCCCTCATCAGTTTGTGCTGTGGTAGCTGGTATGAGGTCACCTTACTTACCAAACGAATTCATTTCACTAATGCACAGAGATCAGACTTAAATGTTCTATGTAGTGGTAGCTATTACCCATTAATAAAAGAAGTGACAGTCTGTATTGACATAGTGCCAAGGGGCCTAGAATATTTTGTAAATCCTTGAGCATATTAAAAGGTACATTTTAGTTGATGGGAGGCATGATTCCTCATTTAGTAAGTGACAACATTGAGGTATAAGGAGACTCTTTCAGTGAAAGAGGATGCTTCAGGCCAAGATAAGTCTCTAATGGAATTAGAACTCCCTAAGATACCCTAAGCCTTTGTTTCTGTCTGAGCTCCTAGGAATAGAGACTATGTCTGCTTCATCTTTGCAGACCCAGGGACTTGCCCTGTGCTGGTACACTGGGCAGGGGGAGAAAAACATGGGCTTGATATCCATCAGACCTGCCTCTGAAGTCCAATTCTACTGCCTCCTGCCCATGTGATCCTAAATTGACTCAACCGCTCTGAGCCTTTGTTTGGATATTAATATCTCCTCAATACTAACAAATGAGAAATTATGGTTCTCAAACCATGAGAGGTAGAGAATATACTGAGCTCATTCCATTCTGTATTCCTTGTGGGACTGGAGAGTAAAGAGGCAGCCTCTTCCCCTAATTGCAGCCTTCTGAATTGAGACTTGGAATAGCTGGAAGTTCAAGTGCAACTCTTTCCCCAGCAGCTCTGCCCCAAGCTAGTCTTTTACAGCTGGCTCTGGGCTCCATGGAATGCCTTAGAACTGGCCTCCCAAGAGAGCTGGTGCCTCATCCAGAAATATCAGTTAAAAGGGAAAAAGTTAACAGCGCTTTAAAATCATCTCATTATATTCTACCCAGCCTCGCCCCTGCCCCCCTCCCAGAGGCATGGTTTGGGCTCAAGTGATTTCACCCAGCAATACCTGGCAGTGAGGCTGAAGGACAAGAGTTGAGCCACGTGTCTGCTGTTGTTGCAGTGTTTGGTGCACTGGGAAGTTTTCAGAGAGAAGCCCCATTCTCTCTCTCACTCTCTCTGCCTCTCTCTCTCACACGCACACACACCCCAGAAGCTTTCTACCTTTTCAAATATAATGTGATTTGTAGTTTAAGAAATTTTTAAGAAATCCAAAACCATGTGGACCAACAGAGCATTGACTGTGTGTTCAGCCCATACTAGGCAGCTGTGACTCGCCTCACCTAGGAGATGTGTGCTGGGATCAGAATTGGAATTTAGAGCCCTGGCTCTTTAGAGATAACTGGAGTTACTCATTGGCAACTTAGGCAGTGCCATCTTGCCAATGCTTAAGTTTTTGTGACCAACCAGCACAGTGGCCCAGAGCTCCACTTTTTTCTCAAGTGTTTGGTCTTTAAGAATCTCACCAGGTGTTTCAGTGTGGACCCCTGGGCTTACTGGGTAATGAACTGAAACCAAACACAACTGAATCAAAACTATGTCTTCACTGCCCTCCCTCCCTTCCCGCCCTGGTCACGCAGCCAGCCTATTCCCTAAGTTAGGAGATGGCCTTTGCAGCAGAGGGGAACCCATGTTACTCTTCAGCAAAATACAGCTGCTGCTGTGTCTTTTACCTCCACAGATGGTGGAAATAAAGCAGATCAGCATTATTCCCCATGGCAAGGAGATGGATGGCTTCTGCAGTTTTCAAGCCATTCATCATTTTTGGGAGGGGGAGCACGAGCACCTGTCAAATGACACGTTAGA